AAACGATGTTTTCAGATCATATGCTCAATTTCAATCACACTTTTAACACTTCCCATCCGGTTATCCTTTATATCGAAAAAAATAGTGACCTTACAAAATTTGCTGAATCCTTTTTTATTTCATTAAATTCCTCCTCTTGTGTTAATAAACGCAATTCATCCCACCTTTTACATGATAGTTATCAGATTGTTATTGATTTTTTTAAAAAAACATAAAATTAATTTGCTTATCTCTTTTTATTATTTTTTACAATATTGTTTTTTCTTGTTCTAACGTTTACATGGTTTTCTTTTTCCTTTTGATCAATTCCAGTTCAAGCACTGTTTGTTCGAGGCGTTTTTCGTGCTTCGAGAATTTTGTCCTTGATGCGTCCCCTCCCATTCCTATCAATACGCCTCAGTCGAGTCTGGATGCTCGGTATGGGCGTGTTTCTCGTCTCACAATTATGTATTTTATAACTTTTAGTCAAATTAGTTTCAAATCTTTTAGTTATTCATAATTTTTTCTAAAAAAATGTTTTTCTCTAATATGTTATTAAGTTTAATTTTTTAAAATAAATTTTTGTTGAGTGTTTTTGTCCTGTGGTGTGTATAATGTTTCTCTATGCTACAATTAATCTATATTGTTGTTTATATTAGTAATAAAATTTTCAAATTGTTGTAGTTGCTGAATGATGACACGCATCTTGTGTCGAAACGTATAAATAAAAGTATTTACACTTTATACCTTTTTTATTTCGACGAATGGGCTGCTAGTTACTTTGAAATATGTTTCAACGTCGAAAAAACTATCAAGATATATATATATATATATATATATATATATATATATATATATATATGATACAGTTTTGCAGCCACAAGTCAAAAATTAAACCAGAACGTAAATATAAATCTTTTTAATACGTTTCGAGCTATTCTGCTAGCTCATCATTCAGCTAAAAAACAAACAGAGTAATAAAACAAAGTAACAAAATAAAATAAAACAGAATTAAAATTATACATACCAAACCAGTTTTGCAAGTTATTAAACATTCAAAAAATTATTTTATGTAAAATTTGACAAACATGAATATTTTGTTCTAAAAACAAAAAAATATGTATATATATATAAAATTTTGAAAAATGAAATCAAGTAATCGAAATATATCAAATTCTGAAAGATAAAAGAAAATAAAAGAAAATATCAAGTGGTAAAAAATTGTTCAAATATTAAAATAAATCAGATTTACATATATTAATTAAATTTTGATAGCTGTCAAAAAGTAAGGAAGAAGAAGTTCTCTTATTAACACATTCAGAATTTAAAAAAATGAAAACAGATTCAGCAAACCTTCTCAGGTCAACATTTTGTTCAATATATAAAATAACTGGATTGTTTAGGTCAAATGTGTGTTTAAAATTTTGCATATGGTCTGAAAGCATTGTTTTATATTGATTTTTATTGTTTGAATTATATTTATGTTGAAGCATTCTTTTGTATATATACTGTGAACTCTCCCCAATATAGAATTTTTCACAATCATTACAATTCACCTTGTAAACGGAGTCAACAATTCTATTTTGTGGTGTTTTTGATTTTAAAGGAGTATACAAAGAATTTAGAGTATTTTCAAATTTGGAAACTAAAAGAAAACCTTCTTCAGAAAATATCTTTTTTAAAAAATAAGTAAAATTGCCTAAAAATGGTAAGGAAATAATACCTTTATAACGATTTAGAAAAGATGAAGAATTTATTAAACTAGTATCAATAGGTAACGAAAGGTTATTATTATTAATGTTAATTTTATTATTATTTAAATACTGCATACGGTTTTTTATAATATTATTAACTAATTTTTGAAGGACAATCCTGATATTATTGTTACGAGAGCAGACAAGGGTAATCTCACTGTTGTTCTCAATAAGGAAGATTATTTTTCAAAAACATATAACTTGTTGAAGGATGAAGTTTTTTATAGCGAATTGGCCAACGATCCCACAGATCACTTAAATAGACAGACACAAAAACTTATTAATAATTTAATTGACAAAAAACAAATTACTAATTCATTAGGATATTCGCTTAAAGTTTTTCATCCTAATTTTCCTAAATTATACTGTCTTCCTAAAGTTCATAAACCAGATTTACCTATAAGACCTATTGTTTCTGATATTAACACTCCTTTAAGTAAACTTACGAAGCACATCAGCACTATTCTTTCTAAGGTTACCATTTTGTCGGAATTTAATGTTTCCAATTCTTTCAATTTAGTTAAACGTCTAAATAATTTGCAAATTCCTCCTGATTTTTCTTTTGTCAGTTTTGATGTCATATCGCTTTTTACTAATGTTCCTTGGGACTTAGCGTTAGATGCTATCTCAGATCGTTGGAATGATATCCAACCCCACACTTCTATAAACTTATTTTGGTTCAAATACATTTTAAAATTCATTTTTAGTAATACTTATTTCTGTTTTGAGAATAAATTTTATTCACAGATTTTTGGTTTGCCAATGGGCTCTAGTGTTAGTCCCCCTCTTGCTGATTTGACTTTACAACTTCTAGAAAATTCTGTTTTGCCTAAACTTCCTGTTCAACCCTTCATATATTTTAGATATGTTGATGACATTCTTTTATGTTTAGATAATAACTATATGAACCATACCTTGAATTGTTTTAACTCTTTCAGTAAACATTTGCAGTTCACTTGTGAACAAGAGGTTGACAATTCTATTAGCTTTTTAGATATTAAAATTATTAGATTTAATAATAACAAAATTTATACAAATTGGTATCAAAAGCCAACTTGGTTCGGTCGTTACATTAACTATTTTTCCTTTCATTCCCGTTCGATCAAAATTTCTATTATTATTTCATTAATTGATAGAGCTATTCTTTTAAGTGATTACATCTTTTGGAACAAAAATTTAGATTTAATCCGCGAAATTCTTGTAGACAATTCATATCCGTTAAAATTAGTTAATAATATTATAAAAAACCGTATGCAGTATTTAAATAATAATAAAATTAACATTAATAATAATAACCTTTCGTTACCTATTGATACTAGTTTAATAAATTCTTCATCTTTTCTAAATCGTTATAAAGGTATTATTTCCTTACCATTTTTAGGCAATTTTACTTATTTTTTAAAAAAGATATTTTCTGAAGAAGGTTTTCTTTTAGTTTCCAAATTTGAAAATACTCTAAATTCTTTGTATACTCCTTTAAAATCAAAAACACCACAAAATAGAATTGTTGACTCCGTTTACAAGGTGAATTGTAATGATTGTGAAAAATTCTATATTGGGGAGAGTTCACAGTATATATACAAAAGAATGCTTCAACATAAATATAATTCAAACAATAAAAATCAATATAAAACAATGCTTTCAGACCATATGCAAAATTTTAAACACACATTTGACCTAAACAATCCAGTTATTTTATATATTGAACAAAATGTTGACCTGAGAAGGTTTGCTGAATCTGTTTTCATTTTTTTAAATTCTGAATGTGTTAATAAGAGAACTTCTTCTTCCTTACTTTTTGACAGCTATCAAAATTTGATTAATATATGTAAATCTGATATATTTTAATATTTGAACAATTTTTTACCACTTAATATTTTCTTTTATTTTCTTTTATCTTTCAGAATTTGATATATTTCGATTACTTGATTTCATTTTTCAAAATTTTATATATATATATATATATATATATATATATACATATTTTTTTGTTTTTAAAACAAAATATTCATGTTTGTCAAATTTTACATAAAATAATTTTTTGAATGTTTAATAACTTGCAAAACTGGTTTGGTATGTATAATTTTAATTGTTTTATTTTATTTTGTTACTTTGTTTTATTACTCTGTTTGTTTTTTAGCTGAATGATGAGCTAGCAGAATAGCTCGAAACGTATTAAAAAGATTTATATTTACGTTCTGGTTTTATTTTTCGACTTGTGGCTGCAAAACTGTATCATATAATGTTTCAAAGTCGAAACAAACAATATCAAGATATATATATATATATATATATATATATATATATAAATATAAATATTATATATTTATGTAGTATATGTAACAAATTAATAATTATTATTATTTATTATAATAATTTACCAGATATATATAAAAATAAAATAAAAAAAATATTTAACTCTACCAGTTCGAACTAGCGCATATCAGCCTTTGACTTCCACAAAAAGCACACGATCGGCAACGATAGCCGCTCAGCCATCTCGACATAATATTAACAGGGAAAGCTATGTGCGGAGATAGCGCATAGCTCATTTTTTGCAACTTAAATTAATTTTTATAATTAAACCACATCTCATAGGCCTATAATATTTTTTGGAGTTCAGTTTGACTATCAACACTATCACCATGCCAAATTTCATCAAAATCCCAGAAGCATAAACCTGAGGGTTTCTCCTTGTTAGTGAAATTTGTTTAAAATACAGTAGCATAAAAGAACTTTGTTAGTCGCCACGGTTATCGTTACATACTTAGGGCTAATATGAATCAACTTGATTAGAGTTATGTTCTATGTCAATATGTATACATTAAGCAATAAAAATATAAAGTGAAACATGCAATAAATGTGGCGTAATGTCAATTTTGGACAGAACTTTCAAGTAAATTTAATATATTGTATTTTGATATTTATTTTAGTAGGTAATTTACTTCACTTCACTAAGGCCCTCATGTTGGTACAAAGTTTTACATTTTATTAAATGCAATATACACCAACATATTTGGTAACCCACCATGTTGTTATTACATTGTCACTTCTTTGTTTGCGTTTCTGTAAATATAAAATCCAAAATTTTTAATCTTTGTGATCAAGTTTAATCTTTGATAAAACTGATAACATCTTTTAGTATTTGAATGTACTAGCTACTTCGGTTTTTGTAAATATTAAATCCAAAATCTTTGATTCAACTGATCACATCATTTAGTATTCGGATGTACTAGCTGCTTTTCTTACATTATTATATTTTTTTAGGTTTCTCATGGAGCAATTTAGAACCTTGTGTAATATGGATGTCCCCATACTTTGAAATAATAGCAGAAGAAACAACAATGCCATCAGTTAGAATACTGACTGACGCTATTCAAAAGAGTTCAGGATTGAAGCACATATGTCCAAATTTAGTTGTAGATGAATCACATACTCTACAAACACATGTCACATCTATTGATATGTTTGTGAGTATAATAAAAACATTATTTTAATTCTTAAGGGTAAATTAATGAAAAATATTATTTTAGGAAAACTTTTGCTTTAACTATGCTATATGATACTTACTAACTAAAAATTTTCTGACTGAAACTAACTAAAATATCTTGCATGTAGTTTAATTATTTTTATACAATTAATAGGCATATATTAAAATTGTGGGATTGTAGTTTTGATCTAGTTTTGATTTTCTGAATATTTGACAAACTTTCAGGACACAGTGCAGCTCAGATTACAAGAACCAACAACATTTCTAATAGAAAGGTCGCCTGCACCTATGCAGTCATCAAAGGGTGCTTCAGGATTGTTAACACCTCCAGCTTCTAGTAGAAAGTTAATAGAGAGTGCAACTTCATTATAAATTTGTGTACTTTAGTGTTTAGTGCATATGAATAGACTATGATAGATAATAGTTGAATATTGACAATAAACTTATAACCATTAGTGCCTCAGTATACATATATCATACAAATGAACAAAATTCCAAGTTGATCTGTTTTTATGTTTATTTAATTTTAGTGATAATTTATTATGTAATTAATTGAAAAAGACTGTGCTTTATAATACACAGATGTGAATTGCATGTGCTGTATATATTTATATATATTGTGTGCATATATATGTATACATATTAGGGCGGGTTGATTAAAAATGCGCTTAGGCACATGCGATTTTCAGTTTCTTGGGATCCAAATAAGAAACTTTGCTCAAGAAACCATGCTTCTAAAATGAATTCTGATGTCTCGTGAATTGACCTTGAACTAAAGGTAAAGGTTAAATTTAGACCTATTAGGAGTGCACTGGTCGCATCCAAATGTAAATGTATGATTGACATTCAATTAAATGTATTGATAGAAAATGTGGGAGCCGTGCGAAATTTTACAGGCTTGAAACCACAAGACTTCAAGCAATAATACTATATAAATTTCTTTTGTATTACTTAGTTCAATTGAGTTTTTCATTTTCCTATGTAATCATTAAATAAATTTTGTAATAAAAATTATTTGCTGAATTTTGTCATCTCAAGTGCCAAATATGATTTTTTTTGTAATTTTTTGTATGATGGACCTCTCAGGGGTCCCATTGGGTAAAACACAGGCATTGGTGGATTGGCCTTTCAAAGTTAGTGGGTATACATTATATAAACATTTGGACGCGATTGGGGCACACCAAATGGTCAAAATGATATTTTTCATAATTTAACTTTCACCTTTGGGTCAATGCACAGGACATCAGAATTCATTTTATCGGTATGATTTCTTAAGCAAAGTTTCTCATTTTGATCTTTAGAATCCATAAATCATAAGTGCCAAAGCGATATTTTTTGTCCAATACAAATCGATCCGCAGATATATATATATGTATATATATATATATATATATATATATATATATGTATATATGTATATATATGCATATATATATTAGGGTGGTCCTTAAAATGGTCATTTTCGAATTTCCTTGCTCCAAGGGGCTCAAATGGTTCCAAATAGATAAAAAACAATTCTCTGAAAGTTTTAGCTCTTAATATTAACGTTTAGATAGAGCGCAATTCAATCAAAGTTTGTATGGGAAGAGCATGGAAAAAATTTTGAAAATTTAAAAAAAAAATGTTTTAGGTATGACTTAGCGACAAATAAATGAGTTTTATTCATTCATTTGTTCGCTAAATTACATCTAAAAAACATTTTTAAAATTTTTGAAAATTTTTCCATGCTATTTCCATACAAAACTTTGATTGAATTGTGCTCTATCTAAACGATAATATTATATTAAGAGCTAAAACTTTCAGAGAATTGTTTTTTATCTATTTGGAACCATTTGAGCCCCTGGGAGCAAGGAAATTCGAAAATGACCCTTTTAAGGACCACCCTAATATATATATATTTATATATATATATATATATATATATATATATATGTACATGTATGTATGTCAATGGTGGTCCTTAATCTGGATGTTTTCGAATTTCCTCGATTCCAAAGGCTCATATGCTTCCAAATTGATAAAAAAAAATATCTGGAAGTTTTAGTTCTTAATATTAACCAAAGTTTCTATGGAAATAATATAAGTAAAATTCCATTTGTTTTATAACTTAGGAGAACCCGCGCGTTGCTCGCCTCGGATTTTGATGAAACTTGGCACAATGGTAGATTTGATGCCCAAACTGACCGTGGTAAAATATTAGAGGCCTATGAAAAGCGGTTCAAAGGATTAATTAAAGTTTGCATTTTAGCAGCGCGCGGTATGCATAGCTTGCAATGCTTTTTGTTATCAGTAGCAGATTGGCTGAGTGGCTATCGTCATGGAATTATAATTTTTGTTTCGGGGTTCAATTCCCAATTCAGATTTAATATTTTTTATTATTTTTGTTTGATATTTATAATTTCACGTGTAAATAATATCAACAATTATTTGAGTTTTTGATTAATTATATATCTTTCGCTAAATATTCCATAATAAAGTCCTCTGTAACACCTGTAAATTTTTATTTTGATATTACTTATGAAACTTACGATCATATAAATGTTAAGTGATTCCTGAAACATTATAATTTTGTATTAATAACAAAAAAAAAAATACGAAAAAGCGATATAATTTATTTCCATATAAAAACTATGTTCAAATTTACTGCAATTTCAAAGCATTGCAATTTGGTAGCAATGCTTTGCAATTTGAGCCTTTGGAAGCAAGAAAATTCGAAAACATCCATATTAAGGACCACCATAATACATATATATATATATATATATATATATATATATATATATATATATATATATATATATATATATATATATATATATATATATATATGTTAAAGAATTTAGTTTTGATGTTGAGAAATATGAGTAAGTTCTTCAAGGGCATACATCAAATAAAAGGCAAAGATTTAGAAGTTAATCTTTAATTTTTCCAAACATTTCGACATAGGATTTTATGTCATCATCAGTGAATCTACAGAATGAACATTGAAAAATTAATATAAACTAGGAAAAAATGACAGAAATTGGAAAAAGAACTATAGATATAAGTAATATAATTATAACAATAACAATTATAACTAAACAGATAGATAAACAAGAGAAATGAAAAGTAAAAAGAAATATATACAAACATACAAAAGCGTAATATATATACATATTAACATACATATATACATTAAGATGAACTTCTAAATCTTCGCCTTTTAGTTGATGTATGCCCTTGAAGAACTTACTCATATATATATATATATATATATATATATATATATATATATATATATATATATATATAGCATGCATTTATGAATATGAATGAGTGATAAATGTTAAGTTATGCTGATGTGGGTGTCATTATATATTACATATTTTGTATAAGTGTGAGGCTGGTGTACAAATTGTTTATTCTATTTAAATTTTTGTATTTTATTTGATTTTTTCTAAATTTTATTTTCAAATATAATTTACAATGAAATGTAAATGCCATTTTTCTGACCTAACTACAAATTTGTGTAAAAAATGTGACTACTGAAGCAAATAAGTTTTAGATCATTTTCAATCTCCAATTATATATATATATATATATATATATATATATATATATATATATATATATATATATATATATATATATTAGAAAGTCGTATTTGATGGGTCAAAAAAAGACGCTTAGACACATATGATTTTCGGATTTTAGGCATCAAAATAAGATACTTTGCTGAAGAAACCATACCTCTAAAATGAATTCTGATCTCTCGTGCATTGACGCTAAGATAGGGTTGAATTTTGAAAAATTCCGTTTTGCGTCCAAATGTATGAGCAACCCTCCACTAACTTTGAAATGCTGCCTTTATATTTGCTATCAATCGCTATAACAGCCTCTGCATTTGCCAGTATTAATTTGGAAATGCTAGCTAGCAATTGAACATGTTGTTCTGTTTCCTTCATGTGTAATGGAATTTTGAGGTATTTTTTTTGTGTATGTGTACGAATTAATATGCAAAAAAAGGGAATACATTATATAAACATTTGGACGCGATTGGGGTACTTCCAATTGGTCAAAATGAAATTTTTCAAAATTTAACCTCCGCGTTTGGGTCAATGCACTTAAGCATCTCGAACGAGACTCTCTCGCGCACCGAATGCGTTCCGATTTGCTCTTGTCCGAGAACCTGTGATTCTTACGATTTGACGTATTTTTGCTTTGCTGTGAATAGTTTAAAAAATATTTTTTTTGAATTTTTAATTTAAAAAAAAAATTGTAGTTGACTACACCTAAGTCTGTTTTTACACGGTCTTTTTGTACACGGTTTTGATATAACACGGTTTGAAAATTGAATATTTTTAATGTTTTTACATGATTTTATTCCATTTAGCACGATTTGAAATTTTATGTACTTAAATTTTTTTGTCAAATTTAATTTTTGCGAAGTATGTTCATATCACAAAAAAGTATTTATGAAGGAAAAATGTCTGAAACCATCGATAGTATCGATAGTTTGCGAATACTAGCTTAAAGATTTAAGTGAATTCCCCTTTAGCGTGTACAAACAATTTTTACTGGTCAAAGCAAATGTGAATAGCACTAATTTAGGGGAATTTCCTTTATGTGCATACAATAAAATTTTACTGGTCAGAGCAATTGAAACGTGTTAATATTTTGTGAACTGTCAATGCAATAAGACGTGTTTGGTAAAGAAATTTTTTGCAGGCAAATTTGATTTTCCATTAAATTTAATTTTAACGCATTAAGATAAAAGGTAAGCCAAAAAATATTTTGTATTTATTCACTTATTTATGTTTTTTAATTTTGTTAAATATTTTATGTTATTTAGTTACCCATTTTTGTATAAGATCAATGTCTTTTTTTACACGGCTTCTTCTGGAACCAATCTACCGTGTAAAAACAAACTTAGGTGTATATGTATATTATAATTTCTACAATATTATTATGTCGATCAAAAACAACAAAAAAAACTGCTTATTTTTTGACGTTCACAAAAAACCCTAGCATTAAGTGGTCAAAAACATTTTTTACTGGTTTTGTCATGTAAAGTGCCAAAATTTCTAATTTTTTGCAATTTTTGTATGAGGGACCTAACAGGCTAGGTCCAGGTGGTAAATCATGGACATGTGCGGACCGGCTATTCAAAGTTACTGGTGGTCGATCATTCATTTGTGTATAAGCGACTTTTAAATCGACCCTTCCTCATATATATCTTTCGTAATTTAAATAAAACAATGGACGGTGGCTGATACGTGAAATGTCAAACGTTCTTGGCAGATGATGTTCAATTACTTTTGATAGGATGTCTTACGTGAATATTGTTTAATTGTGATTGAATTGTACTAAGTAGTTTTGTTTGTAGTTTTATTTTTACACAGAAACGTTATTAAACGGATCACAAGTGTTACTAGAAACTCAAAATATCAACATTATTGAAATGTTAATATGAAAATGCACTTTTTGGCATTGCAGCACTCTTTTTTTGCAAATCATATTTTTCTCAAACACGGTGCTCTGAAACATCTCATTTGTAAAATTGTATACTCATTGGTATTTATCATAGACCTTATACAATTTCATGGACTGCTAGTCCCCATACATTTCTCAAGTAAAAAAGTGCCAAAAGATGTTCTATGGTATGAGGGCATACGAGGGTAATTTCGCGGCCGAGATATGTCAAACTCGATTGCTTAAACGTCAAATGAAAGTCCGTGTGTTCGAAATTGTTGGGTAAATATTATATAATATACAATTTAGGTTGAATTAATGAATGTAATGAACTATTTATTCATTTATTTATTTTAGGTATACAAAGTGTTCAAGGAAAATTAGAAAAAAAAATAAAAAAATATTTTACATATTATAAAATTCACTGAAAATAAGAACAGTTGGCTAGAGCTATTATGGGAAATTAGAAAGAAATAATGAAATATTTGTTTAATTGTAATATATTTATTATTGATGTTTAAAAAGCACAATTTTCGTGTGAAAGTGGCGTACATGTTTATCAAGTTTGCTTTTTTATGTTCTTCATGGTGCATTCTATTTGTTAAGTACATTTTACCACAGACCAAACACATTTTAGAAGACATTTTACTTCTTATTAGATTTTGTCTGTTACTAACAATTTTAAAACGTGTATTTTTATCCTCTTTTAGGCAAAAAACACGAGCGATCAAACATCTCGTGAACCCAAGTAACTGTAAAATTTAAGTGATCGAGAGCATTCGACTCATAGATAAACAAGTATAATAGATCGCTATGTCTGGCGGGTCTCCAAAAATAGTAGACCTTTGGAGACTTTTTGTACGACTTATTCCTTAAATTATTGCATTGTTTATGAATCCTTCTTGTCATTACATATTGCATTCCTTGGTTGTCAAAAGTACTACTGCGCTTTGTTCGTGCATTTTGCAGCAATTTGCAGTACCCCCAAGACACCTATTCAATATAATAACATGTTGACATATCTTGATTATATATAATTATTGCTGCAATTATTATTAAAAAATACCTTTGCGGAAACTTGTATTGGAATAGCTAAATATTTTAACCCGCACTTGACACTTTTTTGGGTACTATAAAAACACTTTGCCATATTAAATTTCACAAATGTTCACTTAAACAAAATTAATTAATTAGAAACAACACGAGTTCAAACAGTTAGGTTATTCGTACTTGACATACAGCGATCAAATACTTGACAGCCACATGAGTGTCCTTATGCAGTCACTACAATGTTCCTTTTTAGGGTGTGAAGTTTGCTGTATTAAACGTCAGAAGTGTTTCACATTCGCTGCAAAGTTGAATGGGATTTTAGCGTTATTATGTTTTATTTTGTGTGGTTTTCGTGCTATGTGTTCTTCTGTTCGTCTATTATTTTCCGGCGTTTTTTGCTACCTCGTTTTTTAATTATTTTGTGCGTTATTAATACGGTTTTAGTATAATTTTCTTGTGAATCGTGTGTTGCTCGTCATTATTATATTAACATTTATTTTTTTTAATTACTAAGTTTATTATTTTGTTCATATTTTTACAGGTTAAGGTCTTTTTCTTTGTTTTTACGTGTTTTATAGGTTAGGGTTATTATATTACTATTTATGTTCTAGCTATTTTACAATTATTAGATCGCTTTAGAAGTAGGTATTCCTGCATTATTTTATTTTTAGACAAATATATAAGGTACGTTTTAATCACTTAGGTTAGGTTGCATTTCAATTCATAGCTAGGTTACATTTCATTTAAGAATTTCATATTTATCTCGTTAGTTGATTCCTACGTTACTTTTAGCTCATATTATAGGTTTAATATTTTAGTTCATATTTCTTTTTTATACATAAGTTATCTTTTAATCATAGCTTAAGTTAGTTTAGGTTTATACTATAGTTCAACCCCTTTCTTTTTATATTCAATATGAAAAGGTAAAACCAATGTATCCATTGCTTTAAAACTTTTGCTTCCACTAGTTCTCTTTGCCGTCACAACAGGTTAGTACATCACATACAGCCTAAGCAGTACTTTCAAAATTTTGAATGTACATTTTGCCAAAAAATTTTGCATGCTCCTTCCTCATTACAAAGGCACATCTCCTACAGACTCCAAACTCCAATGCACGTATTTTTATGATTCCCGAAGTAATCCAGAAATATCCCTTGCGCTGCATTCTTATGCTCTACCCTCTTCATTAATTCCTTCCACTACTTCTTATTCATGTACCCTTACTGCTTCACAAACTTCTTACACAACTCTTCCTGCTTTGCCAAATCCTTCTACATCATTTCCTTCTTCACCAATACCAACGACAGCCTTCCATTCATATGCTCTTCCTGCTTCACCAATTCCTACAACATCCTTCCACTCGGATGCGCTTCCTGCTTCACCAATTCATATGACAACCGCTAATTCCAATACTGTTTCCTTTATTCGACAACCATCTTCCCCACTACTTTTCCAATCATCCAGATCGCTCACATTCTTTCCAGTGACCCCAACGCGACCCAGACCCCAAGATAATGCTTCGCTGTACTCAGAACATTTTACAGGTATTAAAATATAAGTATTATTTAAATATATTTAATATTACATCCACAAAGTTACCATAATTGTTCATTTATAGGTTCTACAAGGGTTCTCAGAATTACTTGCCCCATTGAGGATTGCGGGAATGCTTACACACGGTACAGCGCACTACAAAAACATACTGAGTGTCATCATCACATCAATATTGAACACAAAGACAAACTGTTTTCTTCTATTAATGGTTTGTCAACTTTTAATTATGAAGATTTTCAACAAACATTTCTATAATTTCATCTTTTGCTATAGATTTTTACAGCTGGAAAACTGAGATTGAACAGAACAGTATTACGTCATATGTGAAGGACACTGCAGCATACATAACAAAAGACAATTGCTGCACCATTCAATATTATAATTGCCATCGATCACACAGTCACCATACAAAGGAAACATGTTTAAGGGGTAGCAAAAAATTGGGCATGCTTGTCCCTCACGAATTATGTGCAAGGTGTATAATGACGGACATGTTGAAGTTGATTACTGAAAGACACATGTGGGACATGAAAATTTGATAAAATATGTGCGACTGGATCAAAATTTAATCAGAAACATCAAGGGTATAATTAATTTATTTTCATAAATGCAATTATCACATTGTTGTAAGTTCTTTGTCATTTGTAATATATTTTTTCCAGATCAAATTAAAGCAGGCGTAGATGATGACTTTATTATAAAAAACATACATGAAGATTGTTATAACAAAAAATTACTGAGACCACTGAGAGCTTCCATAAAAAGGCGGGTGTTACCACCAAATGATACCTTTATAAATAAAAATGATTCAAGAAGTGTAGCCGATTCTTTGCATTCTTTGCATTTAATGCTGGAAATAATTTAATTATCTTCATAATTAACTATTATTGATGTTTGCTTTATTTGCATAATTCATTTAAAGTTATGCCATTCATTCAAGTTATGGAAATGTGTTTCAAATTGTAAATATCTATACATTATATAGCTTTGCCAGTATCATAACACACTGCTTATGTGTGCATTTTTGTGTCTAACGACAAATAATTTAATTATGTTAATTAAATGTGATTGGTATTTGCTTTATTTGCATAAATATATTTATTATACCATGCTTTAACAATATTATGGAAATAGGTTTTAAATTGTAAATATATGTATATTAATATGTTCTATAATTTCAATAAATTTTTATTATTATAAATGAATAGTTTTTCTTCTTTTATAAAAAACAGTATATTTTTGATAAAAAAAACAATGCTAAAGCTTATGTTAACGCATTAATTTTTTATTTGTTGACCAAAATAAGGTTCAATTTTTCAATACCATACGTACTGTTAATTTTATAAAAAGGTTGAAAATAATTTCAAATGCCTGAACAAAACTTTGTGGCACCTTACAGAACTCCACCTAATTGATTGAGAATTTAACAAAATTCAGGTATATAAATGCACGTCACAACTATTTCGACAGATTATTATTCACATTTTTATACAAGAACTTTTTCGGAGAAAACAGTTGTACGTTTATTTAACTTACTGAATAAAACTTCTTACATAAGTACTACATTTTACCACTTTCAGACTCAATATGATTATTACTATATACTATGACAGTACTAAATCCTCTACGTAATATTATGATCGTAGAGAAAAATTAAATATATATAATATATTGATATACATTAATATATGAGAGCTGAAATTAAATTGTAACTGTCACATTGACGTCTATGAACTGTCATTATGTACTAGGGTTATTTACACTTTTATATTGGTACGCCTGCTTTGTTTGTCACCTCTTCATGAAGTATATTGTCGTGTCAAAAAATGGCCGCCAGTGACTGCATGAGGAACCGTGTGACAGCCACTTGCATGAACCACGAACAATTTGTAGTTGAAATTGAGTGCACATGAGCCATCTGTTTTTAAAAATTGAAACTACTCAGGACCAAAACAGTGCAACGCGCATTTGTTCGAAGATAACTCCCCATGATTCGACTAATCTCGGTAAAGCTCGTGTTCATAGATAAATAAGCATAAATAGATCGCTATCTCGGGCCATTTGACGTTACTCTCATTTTAAATTACGAATAGATCACTACATGGCAGCACATGTACATACAGTATGTAAATTAACCCCTGGTATTACTTCTACATTTGTACATAAAATCAATACAGCCTTTATCATAGATAAATAAGCATGCTCGTGTTCGTATTTGACATATCTCGGCCGCGAAATTACCCTCGTATGCCCTCATACCATAGAACATCTTTTGACACTTTTTATGCGCTCAACTAGTAGTCCATGTATTGTATAAGGTCTATGGTATTTATAAAACATTTTCTAGGTTATATTATTTTATATTTATGTTATTACTAGGCATTAAAACATGCTAAGAATAGGAGTATCATTATACAGTGATGGTTTCACACCGTTTGACACATGTTTGACATCGCTCAGCATACTCAGTATACCTAAAATGAGGTGTGAAGTTTGCTGCATTATATGTCAGAAGTGTTTTACTTTTGCTGCATGCTCAATGGGGTTTTAGCGTTATTATGGGTTTGTTCGATGTGCAGTCGCCGACAGTACACAACCGTCAGACGCATGCGCAGATCGTTTTGACCGTTCGATGTGTCCAAACTGAATCCCAAACTGTCGTGGATTTTTATCTACGCGTTCGGTCAGCTCGGTTTGATGCGTTTGTACCAGTTTGTGACTGTCGATTCGTGACTGCGAGAATTGGTATTATTGTCTATGTATTGGTGTCTGACGGTTTCAAATTTTAATCTGAGCGTTATAGGCTTACTTTGTAGCTTTGTTTATTTTTGACTATTGTGACTATTATTGTTATCTTCTGTGCGATCAAAATGCATTTACAATCAAATTATTCATTCAAAACGAGAAAAGACCCGAATTTCAAAAACTTTTTTCTTATCGATAGTGTTTTGTGCGAAAGGATATTCCAAGTTATTAGAGTTTATACGTATTTTATGTGAAAATGTTAATAATTATAAAATTATGAATCAAGGTAATTATAATAATAATAATATTGATATATAAATATAAATATATAAATATAAATAAATATATATTAAATAAATATATATTATTAAAATTTTTCAGCCACAAGTCGAAAAAAGAAAGAAAGTAAATGCAAAATCTTCTTTAATTTAATTTTTTAAAATATTTTTTAATTTACATGTAGTTTTCTTTTATAAACATATTTCAAAGTCATATTATATATATATATATATATATAATATATATATATATATATATAATTATAATAATAAATTGTTAGTGCTTATTAATTTCTCATTTTACTAAATATATATTATTTTATAGAACTAGAAGAATTTTTAATATTTCCTGATGGAGCCGTAGGTGTTCAAGATGCTGTTTGGTCTAATGAGAGAACAGCATTTTTAATACAATGTTTTAAAAAATATAAACCGAATGTTGGGTCAATAGAAATAAGAACAATCAAGGCAATGTGGATTGTAATAAAAGCTGACATGAATAATAAATTTGGAACTACGTTTACGGAAGGCAACATTGAGAATCGTTGGAGAGTGCTGCAACGTAATTATAAGAAATATGTCGACAGTCGAGCTACTGGTACGAATAATGATATAAATATATAAAATAATTTTATACATATTAACAATTATGTCTAATAGGGGAAGGAAATTTCAGTTTCCAGTATGCAGAAGAGTTGGATGAAATATTTGGCAATAGCCACAATATAAATCCAGTCTGCATACTGGAAACAAATGATGTACAAGAAATAGAAAACATTCCACACAACCAACAAGCGCGGGATGAAAGTGCACATGAAGTTAGAGAAATTATTGAAACTTCAAGGAGGAGGCAGCGCCGTAGAAGGCAAAGTATTTTAGAGAAAATGAGAGAAGACCGGTTGAGATTTCAAGAAAGAATAATACAAATAGAAGAAGAAAAATTGGCAATTTTAAAACAAAAATATGGAGTGCTCTAAAATAAAATAATATTCATAAATTTGCAATAAATATAAATAAATCATTATCCAATATAAACGCCTGACTTTAATTTATTAATTCATTTAATTTTTTTTCAATACAGAACATTCACAGAATAATACATTATAAGTACTTGACAAGAGCATGAAATAATATTTATTATTATTATTAAGACGTGCTTATGAATAAATTATTGAATACATAAATAATGTAGGTTTTGCCTAATTAGGCCTATAATGGTAAATTAGCTGCAATTTGATCCCGTAATATTGAAGCATCTGTTGAATAAGGATCAGAATCTGCCACATCATCTGATGTCTCATTATTTTCATCTTCCATTTGCAAATATTCAAATTCATCAGTGAGACTCATATTATATAGAACGCAGCAAGCTCTTATAAAGTGAGAAATAAGAGTTATATTTCTTAGTTTTAAATGATATAGTTGTTTGAACTTTTGTTTTAGCATGCCAAATGTATGCTCAATTTTAATTCGATTACTGCTGAGTTTTTTATTAAAATTTTTCTGAATTACTGTAAGGCCATGAGTATTCTTATAAGGTGTCATCAAATTTGCATTTAGTGGGTAGCCATTATCTCCTAATAAAATAAAATGTCCACATTTTTGAATTAAATTTGAGCCCAATTTTGATTTTCGAAATATTCTGGCATCATGAACAGAACCAGGATTTCCAATGCACACATCTATAATTTTCTTTTGGTCATCACAAACTGCCTGAATCTGTAAAATACATATAATTGTAAACTGGAATACTGTAAAACACATATAGATGCAAGTAGATAAAAAGCAGTACATGAATTGAATAAAATCCTTTTCGGTTCATATATGAATTTGGATCCTCTATCGGTTTATCTATTCGAATGTGGCAACCGTCAATTGCACCAATTACATTTAGAAAATCATTTTTAGCAAATTCTGCGGCAATCACCAACTTTTCCTCATCACTCGGCCATTTAATAAATTTTGGGGATAAATTGCTTAAAAAGAAAGCAACCCTTTGCACTATTCCATGTAAAGTACTTAACGTTATATTAAAACGATCACTGACATCCCTGTAGCTGGATGTTTGGTGTCCCGCAAACCATAAAAATATTAGTATCTAAAATAATATGTAATTAATTATGATTTTACTGGTTTGTCAATTATAGTACATTTTTTACCTGATTAAATGCACAGATTTTTCCGAATGGTCCATATTTAATTTTGTTATAATATTTACTATCTTCATATATTTCTGATATATTAGAACACGTTGTTTTGCTTATTCTGAAGTGCTCGAGAAATTGTATGTCATCAAACAATGGCACCACTTTTTCTGTCAAAATAAAACTATAAAATGATTAAATTGCACTTATGGAATATTATATTATATTAACCTCTTTTAATTATAATAACTGATACTTACCAAGATATTCTTCATTTTTTGTAACTTGAACAAACTCTAATAAATCTAACTCCTCCTCATCGTTCTGCAAAAAATCATAAAAAAACTCGTTGTCACTCATTATGTTAAATTCTCTCCATAAAACACATTAAACATTTCATTTACTCAAACTGAGCAAATAAACAGAAACACGAAACGAACTATACCGAAGACATGCGAATGAACTCTCGGCAGTTTCGTCGCGTTCGATGTAAACCGTCTTGTCAAACCGTTGGAAACTGTCATGAGATGGCGCATGCGCAGTGTAACAAATCAGAATGAGTTTGGAAGAGTTGTGGACTGTCACAAACTGCTCACTGCGAACAGACCCTTTTTATTCGTGGTTATTTGTTCCCTCTCCTCCAGTTCATTCATTCTTTTTGCGGCGTGT